GGGTCTCTTCCTTCAGTCTTTTGTATTTTGATCGTTATGTAAAACTTGCTTTTATTTTAATATTGATGTCAGTATTTCAACTGCTGTAAAATGATAAACTTTTATACTTCAAAAAAATCAATTTGCAATGAATATTATAAAAATAAATATATTACTCACAATTGGGGTGTTCTGGAATATTTTCAGCTGAAAATTCTCACGAAATATGATTTTAAAGTTGGTCTATAGACGCTTATGGTGTACAATGCGTTAAATGTTTGGCCAAATATAGCAAGCTAATTTTTAAGTTGATAATTTTGTATGGTCTGAGAATGATGTTAGAAATATCCAAATGGCCCTTGGCAGTACAAAGGCTCCCCACCCCTGGTGTATACATGTCAATTTGCCACACTGATATATTTGCAAAATGATCACCACCACAGCATTAGCTAATACCTAAATCATTACATCACAGAATTAACATTTCTTCTTTGTGGTGAGTACATTTAAGATCTACTCTCCTAGCAACTTCTAAGCAAATAAAACAGTATTATTAATATAATCACTATGCTGTACATTAGAGAAGGGACAAGCAAAACAGGGAAAGTAGATCTAGACATTCTATATTTTAGAAAATTAAACCTACAAGAACCTAACACAACCCACACAAATTTTGAACAAATTTTGGTAAATCCTGGTCATTGGGATTATATAGGCACTAAAAGAAAATTTTCCCAGTGCTGTGCATTGAACTCTAATAATTAAAGAGTAATGAGCAAAATTATGATTAATTAAGTACTTCAATTTTATTTTGCTATCATTTGAATTAATTGCCTATTAATCCTAATTTCCCTCTATATAAAATAACTTTTCATAATTTTACAAAGACACAGTGACCAAGTATCAGATTTGCACCTTTGAGACAATTTTCCCCATTATAAAGATTGATGGCAGAGCCATTAAACCTAGTTTCAAAGTTTAGTGAGCTTCAGTGATACCTGGAGAATTATAATGCAGATGCGCAGGCCTGTCTCACAGAAATCCTACTCCCTAGGCTAGGTATCTGGGTTTTAAACAAGTGCCCATGGGTTTTTCATAAAACAGAACATTTTTTAGGAGGAATTTTATTGTTTAGAAGATTTGTAATGCATTTTTTAACCTAAAAGCAAAACAGGTATCAAGCTCTTTACTCAGAGTAGCTGCTGAAAGCCTATTAGAAGAAATCATGACAGAAAACTTCCCCTACCTGATGAAAGAAATAGACTTACAAGTCCAGGAAGCACAGAGAACCCCAAATAAGAGGAATCCAAAGAGGACCACACCCAAACACATCATAATTAAAATGCCAAGGGCTAAAGACAAAGAGAGAATCTTAAAAGCAGCAAGAGAAAAACAGTTAGTTACGTACAAGGGAGTACCCATACAACTGTCAGCTGATTTCTCAACAGAAACTATGCAGGCCAGAAGGGAGTGGCAAGAAATATTCAAAGTGATGAAAAGCAAGAACTTACAACCAAGATTACTCTACCCAGCAAAGCTATCATTCAGAATTGAAGGTCAGATAAAGAGCTTCACAGACAAGAAAAAGCTAAAGGAGTTCATCACCACCAAACCAGGATTATATGAAATGCTAAAGGATATTCTTTAAGAAGAGGAAGAAGAAGAAAATGGTAAAGATAAAAATTATGAACAACAAAGTGACAACAAATAAATATCTATCAACAAGTGAATCTAAAAATTAAGTCAGAATAAACTGGTGAATATAATAGAAGCAGGGGCATAGAAAGGGAGTAGACTGCCAATTCTCAGGGGGAAGAGGGCGTGGGGGGTGCAGGAAGAGATTGGACAAAAATCGTACACCTATGGATGAGGACAGTGGCGGGGGGTAAGGGCATGGGGTGGGGTGGAAACCAGGTGGAAGGGAGCTATGAGGGGGAAAAGAGGAACATCCGTAATAATCTGAACAATAAAGATTTATTTTTAAAAAAACAATATAGGCTGACTAAATCACAATCAAATTTCAGAGCCATGGGAGAGGTCATGCAACTGACCACACACAACCCCTCAATTTGAACAATGCACCTGACAATACCTGTGGGATTTGGATGTTACAATTCTGGATTATTCAATATACTTTTTTACAGTTACAACATAAAATAGGCCCTTTAATCTAGAAAGCTCATTCAAAAATTTTTAATTGATCATGTATATTTTTAAGTATTTCTGGACAAATAAAATAAGTTATTTCAGTCTGTAGTACATTATACTCTCTAATACTTTTCTATTTGGAAACTGAATTTAATCTGCATCATAGACAATTATCTAAAAATTTATTTCACTTAATAATATTTAAAACATTTTCCCAGTTTAAACGATTTTTTAACTTGTGTAGGAAATATAAAAGATTCTAGAAAACATATTCATCATCAAATTTGTACACAAAAAAATCTAAACACTATTAAATAACTTATGAATTTAATATGCAACAATTTTAGAAGATCAATTTGCCTTATCCTTAGTTTTTGTGTGTGATCTAATAGTTAATTGTGTTATAGAAGAGTATATTACTTTCAGTTACTGAGTAACAAATTACCCCAAAGATCTAACAAGAGTATCAACCACCTTAACCTAATTCATCTTTATAGAACACTGCATCCAACAATTGCAGGATATACATTATTTTCAACTATATATGGAACATCAGCCAAAAATGTAATCTATGGGGCATAAAATAAGTCTCAATACTTTTCAGAAGATTTTTATAATCATACTGTTGCACATCTTCATCTTAGTATTTTACCTACCCACCTTGCAGACTCTATTTAAGTGTGTATGTTGACTGGAGGTGCAGGGAAGAAGGGTGAGGAAGCATAATCTGTACTTTGTAAACCTACAAAGTATTACTGCATGTTGCTGAATGTAATGAGTCCATTTAGCTCATTGTTCTCAGAAGCACTGGTCACAGTCCCACCAACCTTATTCATACAACCACCCAACATCCACAGTAGGTTATTCCAAGCAATACAGCAGAGCTAAACATACCTCAGAGGCAACCGTATACACTGGTTCTCATTCCCTCTATTGAAAGGCAAAAAGTCAAAGCAAAAAGTATGAATGTGTCTATATCTCAAGATAAAGAAAGGTCAGAAAATAAAGGCCACTCAAATACCAACAGTGATGAGCTCTGAGTAACAATGGGATTACAGGTGATTATTTCCTTCTTTACATTTTATTTTTCCTGATAAGGAGCTATTTTATTTTTATAGAAGAAAAAAATACAAGAAAGGAATGAGGGAAGAGAGGGGAGGGGGGGGAAAAAGAAAGGGAAGGGGAAGAGGAAGAAAAGAAAAGGAAAAATAAAAACAGAGAGAGACAAAGAAAGAACTAACAAATAGGAAAAGGAAGGGAAAAGAGGAAAATAATGAAAGATCAACACAACATTAGTTCATCTCTTATTATGTCTGGGGAAGGGTACCTGTTTAAAACCTCCATAAGTCTCTGTAGTTGCCTTAAGCTTTGGAGCTGAACCGCACAATAAATTGACTATAATTTAAGTCTTAATGTGGAATTCAGGCAAAGAATTTGGGAGTCACCTATTCGAGGGCTCACTGGAAAGCCCAAAAGAGATAAATGACAGAAAATCACAAATGGGCAGGAAAGCATTTCTGACACTATGTGCTCCTGGCCCACAGAAACAACAGAATCAGATATCCCTCGATGTGCATAGTATTTGGTACCTGAAATTTTTCATTTTTCTTAAGATTTCAAGAAAACATATGACACCCGCCATTTCTGAGGCAGGAACCATGTTAATGTAGGAGTAAACAAGACATAACAGCTGTGGTGACCCAGCTCACAGCCAAGCAAAGAGGGGGATGGAGGATGAGGCAAAGGACCAGTAATAAGAGAGAGCTCTCAGCAGGACCAGGGCCCAGACGATTTTACCATCAACCCCAGGACATATCCTCGCTGGTTTTATCTAACTTGTGCTATTACATGGCCATGATGACACAACTGTGTATGCACTGAGCCTTTCTATAATTTGTTATAAGTAAACTCCAAAGCCTATTCAAGTCACATCACCTCATTACAATAAAGAATTTGCTGATGCACAGCCTGCGTGGCTCAGTGGTTGAGCGTCAACCTATGAACCAGAAAGTCACAGTTCAATTCCCTGTAAAGGCACATAACCAGGCTCAACCCCCATTGGGGGGTATACAGGAGGCAGCCAATCAATGATTCTTTCTCATCAATGTTTCTATCTCTCTCCCTCTCCCTTCCTCTCTGAAATCAATAAAATACTTTTTAAAAAATTGCTGACTTTTATATGCAGAGACAAATATCCTCTCACAAAGTCTTAAAATGTTGAGTCATTATTCCTCTCTTGCTTCCCCCTCCTTCCCTTAGAGTGCAGTCAAAAGGGTGAGTACAAGCAAACAATGAAGTGCCTGTGGGTGGCCACATTCAACATGCCAAAATCAAAGTCTTCATTAAAAACAGCATTCCAGTAAAAGCACACAAGTAACATGAAGGAAAAGATGGCTTTCTGAGAGCCCAGGACAC